TATATTGGTATTCCATTGCCCTTCTTACGATTTACTCGGCCTTGTGATTCCATCTGATGACCTATGTTAAAACTCATGACCGACTATCAATAGGAATGCGTGAGGATCCAACTGGTAGCCAGCTACTTCTGTCTTCTTTCGTATTCTGTTTCAACATCTGGCTAGATCGTTCTTCTCCGTTGCCGCAGTGTCGATTACTTTGACACCGCTGAAGTCACTTCTGCCTTTCCCTTTGCCAGCATAGTTATCTCTGCAAAGGAGTGCGTCGTTGGTACTTTCAGCTGCTTTGCATCTCTCTGCTTGGCTTGCTCCGCTTCTTTCGAATGCCTGCGAATCCGTGAAAGATTGCGTCCTTTTCATCAGCACCGTTGTAGTCGATGAAGTCGTCTCAGTGGCCTACTTCTTTCCAGAAGACGGCCTGCTTACAATTTCTCATTCCAAGCATTGCTATTCATACCTTCCTCGAAAGATGCCAAGCTCCGCAGACGCCTTCATTGGTTAGCTAGCTAGCTAGCTATTGGAGAGGCCACGGTGGCTGTAAAGTACGCGTGGAGTGCTACGTCCCATCTGCGCACTGTGTCGCCGACCGAGTGCTCGTTGCGTGAGCGTTCAAGAACCACTCTCCACGTATTCGGTACCTGAGGGCAATAGGGTGGCAAACAGGGCTATTACCATCAAATAGCTACCCCCTTTCACTAATCGTTCTGTCCTATCCGGAGCTACGTCTGCCATTTTCCACGCTTCGTCTGCCTCTTCCTCGGCATGTCTTACCCGTTTCTTGTCTAGATCCCCCCTGTCGAGCTGTATCAAATTCGCTCAATTACGTTTATCGCCTAAACTCTCCGTAGTTACCGTACACAAAAATAATACGACGACGAACCTTACCGCTGGGATTACTTGAAAAATGTCAGTTCGTAATAAATGCGAAATTTGTAACGCGTACGTACCAATTTCATTTTTTGCCTAGATTGTCGCTAAATTTTACTTATGGTTTAGACGAGACTTTACTTTTGATCTATTTCCTGTATAAAGTAAAAACACTCAAATCCGTGCAAAATACAGGTAGTTTATAGGGCCCAAAATAATAACCCACCTTAAATTAGACATCCTGTTAGTAGCCTTTGACTTTATTGTATTCAGCAGATACGATCTAAAACAAAGTTATTTGCATTTGAATGCGATATATCGGGACAGAAGTTCTAAATTGAACTTTACACAGTAATTAACGAACAGCGCAAGCATCAAAAATACGTGCCAAGTTTTAGACCTCGGCTTTTTTCGTAGAGACGATGCAGGGGGTGTGGACGCAACTTTGGAGATAGTGGTCTTTAATTCAATTGAATTATTAGGAGATACCGTTTCAACTCGGTGTACCCACTTCGTCGAGAGGTTCAAAACCTTTCTGAGTGAATAGGATCCTTTCATTATTCTACAAAAATGATAATACTTTATATTTGGTAATCCGCAAAAAGCACAGCCAAATTTAACATTGTCGTATGTTTTAAAAATGTATCTAAAACGGTGGCCAGGTAGCTGTAGCATTAGTGTTAATTTTCGTGTGTTTCTATTTTATTCGTTTATCATATTCGATGGTGTTGTTGGACTAATTAAGTACTTCTATCTGCTTGGATAACGTGGGCATACGGTAAAAATTATTGTATAATTAAAGAAAATTAACAAAATTCGTAATAGAATTTAGAATTATGCAAAAATTCTGTAAATTACTAATAGTAACAAAAATCACTAATTATAATTCGTCAAATGAATCACTTCCGATGATTCGAAAAATTAATGATTCTCTACAGTTAAATAGGCTTACTATGCAACAAACTGGATGCTCGTCTATCTAGAAGCTTGTCAAACAATCTAGAAGGTCTAAAGCAGGTATAAAAATAATAAGTTACCGCCTTAATTATTGTTCCTTTAAATAAATAAAGCACTTGATTGGATTGGTCTTTTTTTTCATAAAGCAACCATACCGGGTTTTAATAATAATAATAACAGAAGCTTACTTTTAGTCATTCTAAATGTCAAAAAGATGTGCTGCAAATATAGCTCCATGAGCGAAGCTTCTGGCTGAAAACCTACCTTTGTTAAAGTGTTCAAACAATGAACATAGTGCTATAAGAAAAATATAAAGGCAACTCCTATTAGAAATCCATATACGAAATCTTATAGTTTGTGTTAGTTTATTTGCGCCTAAACAACACAGTAATCGAATTAT